CTTGTCAAAAAGAGTGGAAACAGATATAGATTCAGGATTTTGTTTACCATCAGACACCACCTGCACATGGATGTCATCAAGCTTTATGCCAGGAGTGAGCAAGACGTTGGTACAATGATTCACTCAGCAGGATCTACACTGAGAATATAAGGATGTCATTCAGATGGGGCAAATGTGGCCCCATGGGCCAGAGTGGTGCAAAGTGTGGGAATGTGACTGAAGGGGTGGCTTTAACATAAAGCAGTCATATAAAGGACAGCTACAAGTACTTGGGTATCTGACAAGCCAGCAGGAACTGTGAGACAGATGCACAGAGGTCCATCACAGCCATGCACTTACTACAGCAGATAGGTGTTTAGAAGACAGCTGAATGGTAGAAATAAGATTCAAATCATCAATAGGTTTGCTCATCCAGTCATTAGAACCAAGGTGTAATAACAAGCTGGCCACAGGAGGAGACAGATGCCACAGATGTCAAGATACAAAAACTGTTTACAGTGCACTGAGGTCTCCATCCAAAGTCAATCACTCTGACGCTAAATGAGAAATGAAATGAGGGAGGGCGAGGATGAGTGTCATAGCCACAATCCAGGATGAAACATGGACCATCCATGAATACATCAGGAAGATGAACTCTTGAGATGAGCTGCTCATAGCACAGACTGAGAGGGAGATTTTTTTTTATAGTGTGATCTTTAAGTGTCAGGAAAAGGTTAAAAAATTTGTAGTGAAAATTTGGAGGGTGTTGGAAAATGTTTTAGTCTTTAACTTCAGGTTTGGAGATTGGGGCCAGTCCTCAATATGTGACCTGAAAATACATTAAAAAGAGTAAGTGGGAGTATAAAAATAAGAAGCGTAAAGTTCTTTCCAGAGAAAGGAAAAATATTCTGCAGTGGGTTGTTCCTGGAAACAACTTTGTACATCAGTGTAACTGTCATGGTTCTTGGTTTTGGTCCCAGGGTTTTGAGTTTCTTTGGAGTTTTTGGAATCACCTTTATTGTTGAATGTTTTTTGTTGTAATAACCACCATTTAAGAAAAAAGAAAAAAGAAAGGAAAAAAAAAACATATTAACCTGCTATTTAACTCACAGTTAGTGATTTCAGTAAATTTGTTTGCTTTTCGGGAGTTTGTACAGCTTATATTCCTTTATAGTCTTTGGGTACAAGTCTGTCAATCCCTAACTATTTATCATCAGAGATATAAATGCAGTAGGATTAACTCAAAGAAGGTAGAATCTAGACTATTTACAGCAAAAAATATATTTATCGTGTTGATAAATTAAAATTGGCAGATAAAATATCAGTGATTCCAAATTCTCTGTTAAGAAAATCATTTAGATGGTTTTTAAAATTTAATTTCATTGCGGTGAAGTGTGGGTTAAAATAATTATCTCTGTGAATCACCACTCACTGGGAAAACCTAAAAACAAAACTTTTATGAATTTAGAGTAATTTCCATTCCTTTGTTAGGTCCCTCAATCATAATTGATGTTCAAAATGATTTGAGTCAAAGTGATTCATTCATTTAAAGGAACTCTAACAGAATGAGGTCCGCACAGTGGCCACACTGAAAAGACAAGATAGATAATTACATGTTAAAAGTGAAATCACTTCCTATCTGCGTATAACAAATCTATATTTCTGTTCTTCTTTAAATGTTCTGCTTAGAGTGAGCTGTGTTTCTTTTCCACAGGGGTAAATGTGAAATGATTCGTGAAGTTCTTCCATTTTCTGAATTCATTCGTTATTTATAAAACTGAAACTGGTTTTCAAGTAAATCACACCTGAGAAGACTCTGCAAACATAAACTTTGATCCAACATGCGTTTGCTCCCACTTTGAAATCTAACTCCATCTCAGACTTTGCACCAACAGCAACATGACCCCACCTTTCAGCACACAGAGTGAGTAAATTCAGTAAGAGGTTCAGTTGTTTACAGCTCTGTTATATTCAGTCAGGAATTTCTGAACCCTTCACGTTTTACCATGCAGGCTACAGATTAAAGGGAACAGAACAAAAATAAACAGAATTCTATAAATTAAGAGAAACAAGAATAAAAAACAAAGAAACAAACTTATAAAAATTATGGAAACACTTTACATAATAGAATGGCTATGATGCAACTCTAAGATGAATAACTACAAATGACGTATTACACAGTGTCAAAGATGCAATTAACAAAAACACTTCGATGGAGTAGGTTGTAGAATTACTTTGAATGACACGGTCTCATGACCCAGTGAAGAGCAAGTTTTAGCTGTCATAAACATGGCCTCAAATTTGACTCAAGAATACTTTGATATACAGACAAGCACATGGTCAGATCGATGACTCCAAGTTGCCCGGGTCTAAAGACTGCAAAATAGTGATGAGGGGAATGAGGTTCAGCTCATTGTTTTTAGTGTTAAAGCAGTAAAAGAACACAGTGCTAACAGTAAGTCATGAGGAATCTAATACATCTGAACTCTGCTCTGTTAGTGTAACCAGTCTGAGCCATGAAGGCGTGTCAGCACCTGCAAAACATATATAGAGCCTTCACATGCTGCAGAAAGTGAAGCTGCAGACTGAAGCACAATGCTGATGAAGATTTTTACTTTTTAAATTACTTTTGAATAGAGAAAAATATTATACATGGACCCATTATTCTTGATGATTCTTTATTTGGTGATTGTTGGAAGTTTCCACACAGACAGACTGAAATCGTTCTCTTTGGAGAGTCAAATCTGAGAAAGAGAAGACTGAGTAGTTTAAGGATAGAGTTCTGTTAACTTTAACTTGATAATAAAATTAAAGAGATGACACACTGGTCATCTGACAAAAGAAAACATGTCTTATATAAAATTGCCAATGACTCGTGGTCTGTTATGAAAGTCCTGAGCTCTGTAGGTGCAATTAAGAGCTCAAAACAAAAAATCGATATGGAAAGCAAGTAAAGTAAAGTAAAGTCTGGAAATGGTCAAAAATTCTTAAGCAAGGATCAGACATGGTTTCAAAAGAGGAAATAATGAAACCAAACAATCTGATGAATATATATCGAATTAAATGTATGAACCCTTCCTCCATCTTTTTCTTGCTTTCATAACAATTTTTTTTTTGAAATATATTATTTATAAATTAAGAATCAGCAAATATGGTTTGAACTACTTGCTACTACTACATGCTGTTTTGGGCTTTTTTCATTGTTTGAAATTGTTAATAAATCTCATTCAAAAAAATTAAATTATAAACTGTGTATCAAATGTAAAACATAACATAACATATCATAAGAAGAAGTATGGCTTTCCAGTTTTACATGTGTAAATTGTTGAAGGAGAAGAAGCATTTAATGGTGATGTCTCAAAGAACTGTGGAGTGACAGCATCACATTTGTTGATGTGTGAACCCAAAGAGCATCTATTGTTTCTTTTGTGATTTATTGTATTGCTTGTTTCTAAAACAACTGACATCTCATACTACAATTCAACTATCATATATAACAGCTCACTGCATTTATAATGAACCAATGTCCATCATGTCCATCTGACAGTCACCAGCGCTTCCTCCTGGGTCTCTCACTGTTGACCAATCAGACTCTCTTACAAGGCCTGCTGACACAGATAGGAAGCAGCCCAGAGACAGTTCTGTTAGGATGCCTGGGTCATCGAATTTTCTTCCTACATACATCACTGTCATTTAATGTTGGATCTGATACAGTCAGAATAATTTTTCATCAAAATACTTAAGCAATGATCACAGAAAAGGTTTTACTTGCAAGCAGTTGTACTCTCTACATCGCAGTGTAGAGAGCAGTGGACAGAGTAGGACTAAAGCACACAATGTCTTCCCCTCATTTATAGTGGGGTTGAGTTTTACGAGTACTTAAATGCTTGAAACTTTCCACTGCCCATGCAGACATGCTGAGAACGGTGGTCTTATTTTCATTTAAACAGCTCTCCTGCTTTCATTTCCTTCAAACAGCCTTTTTTCTGTTTCACAAATCCCCTTTCAAGATTGATACTATTGATATTTGGGTCAATCCGCCCTGCCTTCTTGGTGTAAGGCTGAAGTTATTTAATGTGGCAAAACAAAACAAAGATAGGTAAGCTGGTAGACTTGCAGAACAGTTATAGATCGATCAGTTATAATAAATGGTTTAAATAAGTTGCTGATGCTAGAGGCTCTGATCAGGCGTCCCTGTGGATCTTCTGCATTGAGCAAAAGTTATTTCTTTAACTCCATCTTACACTTTAATGTTCATCTGCATTCATCTGGGAGTTGTCAGAAAACACAAGGCAATCTCTGATGACTTCTCAGTGCAGCAGTGTTCTGTGCAATAAAGCATCTCAGATCAGCTGGTGCCATCTTGAGGTCACAGTTGGTTATTGTGCCTGAAATCTGATTAATTGTTCCTGTTTTCCTGTCACGCTGAAAGGGAAGTATTTCTTGGGTTCTTCACACATGCTCATTTTGTTCTGATGGTCCTGTGATCATCCATGGAGGCAAACTTCAGATAAATGTGTTTAGCCTGGTTAGTTTTTCTCAGTGCAGTGGCTTGACTTTTCAGAAAAAGGATCTTGTCATCATAAATTGTTTGCTGATTGATGTTTGTTTTTATTAGTTTTTAAAAAAAATAATTCCAAAGATAAAACAAAGAAAAGACAGAGTTAATCATGTGATTATGGCAATCCAGTATTCAGAAATATTAATTACAGAGAAACAATAATCAAAGTTTATATTGGACACAGTTTACATATCACAATGCATCATTCTAGAAACATCATTTCTTCTCCAGTGTAATTTTTTAAAATAAATTTCTACATATCCTATCTCTTCTTATACTTTAGTTCCATCATCAAGGTTATAAATGTAATTTTGTATTCACATTGCCCATACACGTTACATGTCTTCAAAAAACTGCCAATAAAATAAACAGCAAGTTGCTGGTTGGTCAGATAGCTTTCTAACTTCTGACATCATCACAGATTAAAAACTTGATAAAATGTTAAATGTAGTTTGGGGGTCATTCAACAAGAAACAGTGAAATGATTTTCCATGTGAAAAAGTGGACAGCAGAAACAAAGAAAGAGTGAGAACAGTGTGATTAATAAAGAGCTTTGGAACAATAAGGCAGCAGGAGGACAGCTGCAGTTTAACAGGTTTGTAACAACATTAAAATATAATTATGATGAATTAATTTACACTGACAATGACACCTTCTACAGCAGAACCTTCAATTTACCAACCACAGTGTTAATGAATGGAAACATCCTGTCAGTGAAAGTGTGTGTGAAGGTGTGTATGTGTGTGTTAGTATCAGGATCAGAGAACGACAGCTTTCCTCTGTTACAGTTCAGATTCACTCTGATCCTCTGAAACTTCTTCTGTACTGAGAGAGCAGTGTCTGGAGCTGATGGTGACCACGCGTAATATTTACCTTCATAGAACCTTATTCTCCATAATCCAGACAATCTGTCTCCCTTCCTCTGCACAGACTCTGCAAACACACCCAGGTTCCACCATGTACTGTATCCAACCTCGACATCCCAGCTGTGAGTCCCAGAGTCAAAGCCTTCAGAGCCCAGGACAGAGTAGAACCGATCAAACCTCTCTGGATTATCAGGAAGCTGTTGTTCATCTCCTCGTCTCACACTGGTCAGATCCTCAGAGAGGATGAGTTCTGGATGAGCAGTGTTTGGGTCCAGAATGATAGGAGTGTAGGAGACCATGTCCTTCATGTTGTTCCAGATGTTGAAGGTCAGATTGGCCAGGTGTTTGGCCTGGTTTAACAGAGCTCCTGAGGGCAGCTGTGGATCATCCAGCAGGGGGTAGTGCTGTACTCTTTCCACTGCAGCCTTGTAGTTGTGCAGAAATGAGATGTCTTCAGCTCTCAGCTCCTCCTCTGTGGCTCTGACTGTGTCTGAAAGAGCAGCTATGTGTCTGCTCAGGGACTCCATCTTCTCCTTCATCATCACATTCTTCTGCTCCTCTTCCTCCCTCAGTGCAGCCAGCCTGTCCTCCTCTTCCTCTGCTAGAAACTGGAGAAACTTCTTAAACTGCTCCTTAATCCGAGTCTCTGTGTGTCGGGCCTGGACGTTAATGTGTTTTGCTATTTGATCAAACTTCACTTGAAGTTCTGCACAAACCTTCAACTTCTTCTTTAAGGACTCCAGAGTTTCCTGAAGTTCCTTCTTGTGTTGTTGTGCAGCTTCATCGATGGGTCTGAATCTGTGGTTGGTGTGTTTTTCTGAGTCTCTGCAGATGAGACACACTGGCTGCTGATGGTCCAGACAGAAGAGTTTGAGTTTCTCAGAGTGCAGACTGCAGAGAGCCTCTGAAGCTGTCTGATCTCCGTCTTCTAAGAACGACTCACACAGGTTCTTTAAAGCCAGGTTTACAAGTTGATCATTCCCTGAAGATCTTCTCTGACAAACTGGACACTCGTGTGTTTTTTTCTTTCTCCACCATCTCTTCAGACAGTCTTTACAGAAGCTGTGGCTACATGACAGAATAACAGGATCTCTGAAGACCTCCTGACACACCGGACAGCAGAGATCGTCCTCTGATCTGGAAGCCATTGAGTCTGTGAGTGAAGCTGAAAACAGCAGACAGGAGTTTTGCTCAAACTCACATTCAGTGTGTGGAGCGTCAGCAGCTTTAAGCAGCAGTGTGGGAGTTTTTCAGTTTTCTCTCTTGTAGCTCAGATGAAACTTCTTGTTTGATCTGAACTCTGTCTGATCGTCTCTGTGTCTCTCTTTACTACGTATGAATAACATCCTTTTGCCTAGTTTTTCTCAGGTGAGTCATGTGAGGGGCGGAGCTTAGTGTTTCTCATTCCTGAGTTCAGATATTTCACCTGCACATGTCCCAACATGAAGACCTTTCTGAATCTTAGAAAAGAAAGTCTCATTCAGTGGTGCTGCAGAAACTTCACATTCAAAAGGGACATTTTTCTGGTTGTTTAGCGGACTCAGCAGCAGATTATAATGCAGGAAAACAAATACGGATCATTTCATGTGTTTAGTCCTGAGAACACTAGTCATTGGCTCATATATCATATATCAAAACCTCTGAAGTCTCCTCATTTCTCAGCCTCTCTTTCAGCTTTTAGGAGACCTGATGAACTTCAGTTCATTTCATTTCAGCTATTTTAGTGAGAAATATTTATTTATGATGCTGTGAATCTTTTTAACACTAATGTTTGAAATTTAAGTTCAGCTAAATGTTTTTTTTTTCCTATGGAAAAATTCACACTTCCTTTGAATATCTCACATGAAAAGCCTTGGAAAAGTGTTGCAATTTGGAAGACTGCTGCGGGAAAAGGAACATCTTCCAAACTGACTTCCTGTAACCAGTTAACCAGTTAAAATGGTTAGGTGCCAGCAATAAAGGAATCATCTTTTAAAATTAGGTTGCTGCACAACTAGTAAAAAACTGAAATGGTGGTAAACTGCTGTAAGAACACTTTTTTT